TTAATATTATATATATATATATATATCATAACAAGAGAATAAGTTTCAATTTGAATCTATTTTAAAAATCAATTGAAATAAGCTAAAAAGCAAGAATTTATTCACCATTTAATCTCCTGCAAGTTTGTTGTGCAAATTTTTTTGTTATTTTATAAAAACATTACTTGTGTATGAATAGCATAATCTTAAATATCTCTTCACGGATCGTTACACATATTGAATAACGATAAAAAGATTTTATGCATTGTATCACCGTGTTTTTCTTTATTTTCACAGAAATGACTATCATATTCGAAATTTAGATCAGATACTTGACCTCGTATGAGTCTTTTATCTTTCTCAGAAATGATTCTTTCAATTTTAATTTTTATCGTGATTCGTAATAATCCTTGAAATTTATTTGTTCAAATCCACTACCAATCAATTGCCACTGAAAGTTGTATAATTAAAGAATTCAATTCAGTGCAAATTTAATTTTCTCAAATATATTTTGACTTGATATTTAAAAAAGAAAATTAATGTTTTACGTTTAAAAAAAAGAGTGACTTTTATCTGTGTTATATTAAAATCCTCAATTGCATTTCTGAGGAAAGCGTTAATAAATTAATGTCAATATCAACTTGAAAATGTCAGATCAAGATGGTAAAGATCATGCGTGTTCGTTATTAACGTTTATTGGAAAGATGATTCCACTATGTAAGTATCCAATTATCCTAACATACTTGATACTTTTCACATGTCGCGATGGTCTCTCATTATCAAATACAATAAATACGATAATTACGAGTTCGGTCACGGATCGCCATTTCGCAAATGACGTACACTTCCTCAAACATGATTCTTGTCCGCGATTCCAATGATAATGATCCAATTAGCGGCCGTTTTCTCGGGCGTTCCACTCTGATTGCGCCGCGGTCTATCTGTTCTTTTACTTTCAGTGTCGCGATCTTGCCGGTTTTTAAAATACCTGTCTTTAATATCCGTCGGAAAAACTAATAAGGCATTTAATGACTTATAGCATCAGCGATTTATGTCGCTTGTAATTAAGCCGATGATTCAAATTAAAATGCGCACTAGAGAATCATTCTTTCAGCATTTAACTACTGACACATCGTCAATCAAACTTATATATACTTGCATATATTATGTAAACAGATATTTCCCAAGCTTATTCTTTTCTTTGATACACACATTTTATGATTACGTTATCAGATTATACATATGACACAATATTTCGTATTAAAATATTCGATCATCCTAAACTTAACAAGTTTTTTCAAATGCTATTTATTTTAAACTGCAGTTAATATTTGCGAAATATTGTAAAATTTAAAATAAAGAAGAAGCATTCAATCGTTTTCAATTATATTAATATTTCAATATTTTGTTTTATTTTTACCGAATTTATATCATTGATTAATTTTAGTTGCGGTTTTTCATATAATAGCTGCGTTGTTGTTTCTTATTATATAAAAATATATAATTGATCTCACTATATAAAAATATATAATTTTAAGTTTTAATATTAAAGCTTTAAATATTTAAAAAGAAAGGAAAGTGTTATTTTATTTTCGAGAAATGTGTCCGTCTACTAACGACGCTTAATAAACGTCTCGCGTGGAAGACGATTGAAAAATTTCCATTCTCCCGAGGGATGCGGCAAGTATATACGATCAATGACGAAGAGCATCATCATCCGGCGTGGTCGGCTAAGATTTTGCGCGAAATTCTGGACCGGAGCTCTGCAATCAATTACCGACGAACGAGTCGTTTTTATAGACAGATTCCACGTCGGTGTGCGCGATCGCTCACGGCTGTGTGCGTTTAATACGCGTTGACGTGGCACGTTTTTAGCGCGGTGTAATCGCATGATGATACGTTACTGGCCTCTAACGACGCACGCGACCCTTCGTGGCAACTCTCTTTTATGCGGACGTCTTATTCGCCGGGAAAACGAGCGATGGAAATGCGATGATGAAAGAGAGAGAAAGGAGAGGAAGAAAGACCGTATGTAGATATTAGCGAAACTGGTTCTTCACCGGACGCAGAAGATAATCTTTTTTTGGAAGAGTTCTCAATTGCAATAACGATCGAACGATTAAGAGAGGACCAATTGATAATTAATGCAGTCCATCTTATTTGTATAAAATACTTTCTTATTTTTCTTCGTAAGATAAACTTAACAAATTATGGACTGTGAGCCTCCGCTCTCGCTTTAATT